ATTATTCTTAAATTTGCAAGGCTTATGGTTATGTCAACGGTAATTTCCCTGTTTGATGATTATGGGATCTGATTATTAGTTATTGCTTTAAGAGGTAATTCATAGACTTTGTGGCAAACTGGTAAATTTGATATTTTAATTCAAAGTTGATTTTTTTATAGATAGAGAAAATAAAGTTTTGACAGTGTGTGTTAAATTTTTCTGCTGAGTACTTTATCTGCTTTGTTTATTTGTTCACCTTATGAGAACACCTGGTAATAATATGATAGAACTATATAAAGTATTATAACTATTACTAACTAAAACACCTATGCTAACCAAATAACATTCTAAGACCTCAGCCTTGTTAAATTATTCTAAAGAATATGTGTAATTTATATTTTACTGCATATTGTAAAATTTCATACCCCAAATATGATTTAGACATAAAATCTTCATGTGCAAAGTAAATTAATAACCTCTTGCTATTCAAATTCTCCCTAACCTCAGGGATATTTGAGCCTTGGGCCGTGAAATGAAAGGAAGAGAATAAAGATTGGTCAAGTGAAAATAGTAGAGTTCAGAATTCCTGACTGTCTATGGTCACTCATTTAACCAAATCCTGTTATACGATATAAAATCAAATCTAGTTATTATGCATCTGTGACACTGAGAACTACTTTTCTTTAGCTAAACTGGCATAGTTTTGTTATTTCAAACATTAATTTATAAACTATAACAACATATGTGACTAAACTTACCTGAAAACCTAAAACCATGCTTGATAGAATATTCAAAGTTACATGTTTATATATAATTATTATGTATTTAAGATGGCTGATCACACTGAAGTGATGAAAGGCATTCATCAGTACCCAGGAGTTCGATATCCTGTCCTTACTCCTAATCTTCAGGGTTTTCACCGTGCTGTAAGTGTGCTACTTATTTTTCTAAAATTCATATGCCTCTTATTGTTTTAAAGATCTTTACAGAGTTAAAATGGTGCCACATGTAACTCACTTATAATCTGTGTAAATACTGTGCTAATATACTAACATGAATACATAGAGCTTGGTACCCTCATGGCATTGTTAGGGGCTAAAGGGCTCTATATAAGTGTTTCCTTTGGTTTAACCGAGACTCAAAACATGAAAATACAGTTATTTTGGTGAAATTTTTGAAAGTGTATTTATGCTTCCCTCTTAAGTAATACAGAGTAAAACATAAACATTTCTCATGCAATATCATAATATATAGTTATAATTTAATTGATAATTATTTTTGTCAAGTTTTTGGTCAGCTTTTTGTTTCTGTTATATCCTCTTTCTAGGTGAAGCTAATCATTGTCATTGTATCTGCCTCTAGTGACTTTCCTTATTCTTCTTCTGGTTTGTTTCTTCTGATCCCATGTGACTTAGGAATTTATATGATTTAAATAAAAGCTTTAATAATTACACATACAAGGAGAACCACTTTAATTTTAAGTAACAGCTTAAACTATTGTGCTTGTATGGGTTTATTTCAGAGATTTTGCACTAGATGTTTTTGGTGTTAATGAACATTTTTCACTTCTGTATTTGAGACTGTACTGCATAAAGTTGAGGTTGTGAAGTGCTAAGTAGTTAGTGTATCACCTGCGAATGGATCTTGTTAGCATCATTTATATTTCCTTTTGTTTGATTTGGTAAAAATTTAATTGCATTGTAAAGAAAGAAAGGCATTTTAAGAAATTGTAAATTGTTGTCATCCAGTCCTAACAAGATAGAGAATGTCTCCACCTTGAAGAAGACAGAGAGGACACTCTCATGTTAGCTTAGAAGGGCAGGCGATGGAATGGAACAGATTATGGCTTGGAAGTCAGGCACTTCTGTGCTCAAAACACAGCTCCAGAACATTTACTATGTGTGATGTTGTGCTAGGTATTTAGCTTCTTTATGCCACAGGTTTTTCATCTTTTAAATGGGCATGATAACACTTAGTTTACAGAGTTGTTTGTGGATTACAAAAAGTATGCAAAGTACTAAAAACAGTACTGGCAAATAGCAGGTGTTCACTAATAGGATTTTTATTTTAGAAGTTGGAAATTTATTTTGAAAAGAGGCATAGAAGCCAATATTTTTTTAAATGTTGGAAGAAGGATGACAACATAGTTTTTTTTTTTTTTTTCAATGTGTTAATAGGGGATCGGGGGAGAGGAGAACATAGGCAGAGTGATTAAGATGCATTAACAGAATCCAGCTGAAAAGCTTGGAAGTTTGACATTTGAACACAAGTCACAGGAGGAGCCTGGGGGAAGGAATAAAATTGATAAAAGGGGCAAAAGAGGAATTGATTAGGTTAATATGTTGGATTTAAAGCCTGGCAAAAGGATTAAAGTGTTAGGCACACAAGAATATGGGTGTAGCAGTCAGGGTACAAAACAAATGGAAGCTAGATTATGAGATAGGAGGAAAATTTGGGGCAAAATCTAAATGATGAATTAGAAAAATAGTTTTCTGTTGGATTGCAGGAAGAGAATAAAAATAGAGAGCATTTACTATCTTTTATTTTAATAATTGGTTTGAAAATAATGTTTTTAATGGAGAATAAAGGTTTTATTGGTGTGCTAATATTTTCCATAACTAGGGTTAAAGTATTTCTGAAGAAAGTTTGTAATTTATGAAAGGCAAAATTAAATTGGAACATTTTCACTGTGTTTTCCATGCCTCATGGACTTATGAGTATTGAACTTTCTGGAATTATTCTGTTATTGTAAAGTATTTTTACATTTCAAAAGTGTATATGTGGCAAGATGAGAGGAATCCAATTTTAAATTATAAGGCAAATGTTAAAGAATACAAGTATGCCTTTAGAGTGGTTAATCTTTATTCTACTGCTATCATTTAGATTTTAAAAATTATTAGCTTTGGGCTTTAAATTATCTTTTGCAGGTTGCTGCTGGAGCCACTGAGATATCAGTTTTTGGTGCTGCATCTGAATCCTTTAGCAAGAAGAATATTAACTGTTCCATTGAAGAGAGCATGGGAAAGTTTGAGGAGGTTGTTAAGTCTGCAAGGCACATGAATATTCCAGCACGAGGGTACACATAATTCTATTTTGTTAACATTTATTGTTAAAGCTTCCTTATGAACTATCAACACATTCTTTCACCATTTATAAAATACATAGAGTATCTTTTTTTATTTCAGAACATTATGGGGCTACAAACATGTTGGTTACATGAATTGCTTTTGTACAGTTTGAGTCAAAGTTATAAGTGTGCCCATCACCCAGATAGTGTGCATTGCACTCATTGGGTGTATATTTACCCATCTCTTCCTCACCCATCGCACCTGCTTGATTTCTGTTGAGTTTTACTAGCATATGTGCACATGAGTGTTGACCAATTCATTCCAATTTAATAGCGAGTACGTGTGGTATTGGATTTTCCATTCTTGCGATATTTCACTTAGAAGAATGATCTCCAGTTCCGTCTAGGTTGTTAGAAAAGGTATTAGTTCATCATTTTATTTTTATGGCTCAGTGGTAATCCATGGTATACATATATCACATTTTATTAATCCACTTGTGTATTGATGGGCACTTGGTTTGATTCCACATGTTTGTGATTGTGAATGATGCAGCAATAGACACTTGAGTGCAAGTGTTTTTTTGATAAAATGACTTTTTTGCCTTTGGGTAAACCCCCAGTAAGGGGATTGCTGGATCAAATGGTAGGTCTACTTTTAGTTCTTTGAGGTAAATCCATGCTACTTTCCATAGAGATTGTACTAGTTTGCAGTCCCACCAGCAGTGTAGAAGTGTTCCTTTCTCTCCGCATCCACACCAGCATCTGTAGTTTTGGGATTTTTTTGATAAAAGCAATTCTCACTGGAATTTGGTGATATCTTATTTTGGTTTTAAGTTGCATTTTCCTGATGATTAGAGATGTTGAGCATTTTTCATATGTTTATAGGACATTAGCCTACCTTCTTTTGAAAAGCTTCTGTTTGTGTCTTTTGCCCACTTTTTTATGGGGCTGTTGGAGGTTTTCTTGCTGATTTGTTTGAATGTCCTTTATAGACTCTAGTTATTAGATGTATAGCATGCAAATATTTTCTCCCGTTCTGTAGTTGTCTATTTGCCCTATTGATTGTTTCCTTGGTTGTGCAGAAACTTTTCAATTTAATCAGGTCCCATTTATTTATTTTCGTTGTTGCTGTGATTGCTTTTGGGGTCTTCTTCATAAATTCTTTGCCGAGGCCGATATCTAGAAGAGTTTTCCCAACTTTTTCTTCTAGAATTCTATAAGTTTCATGTCTTAGGTTTAAGTCTGTTATCCATTGTGAATTAATTTTTGTGAGTGGTGAGAGGTGCATATCCTGTTTCAGTCTTCTATATGTGTCTATACAATTTTCCCAGCACCATTTATTGAATAAGGATTTTTTCCCCCAGTGTATGTTTTTGTTTGCTTTGTCAAAGATCACATGACAATATGAGGATGGTTTTATATCTAAGTTCTCCAATTTAATCCATAGGTCTATGTCTCTTGTTTTTGTGCCAGTGCCATGCTGTTTTGGTTACTATAGCCTTATAGTATAGCTTGAAGTCTGGTAAAGTGATGCCTCCTGATTTGTTCTTTTTGCTTAAGGTTGCTTTGTCTATTCAGGGTCTTTCCTGGTTCCAAACAAAGCATAGAATATTTTTTCTAGATCTGCAAAAAATTGATATTGGTGTTTTAATTCGATTGCATCGAATCTGTAAATCACTTTGGGTAGTATACACATTTTAACAATGTTGATTCTGCCAATCCATGAACATGATTTGTTTTTCCCTCTGTTTACATCCTCTGCAATTCCCTCCTCAGAGTTTTGTAGTTCTACCTGTAGAGGTCTTTCACTACCTTGGTTAAATATATTTCTAGGTATTTTATTTTCTTTGTTGCTATTGGGAAAGTTATTGAAACTTTGATTTGATTCTATGCTTAACTGTTGTTGGCATATCGGAATGCTACTGATTTATGTACATTGATTTTGTAACCTGAGACTTTGCTGTACTTATTTATCAATTCCAGGAGTCTCTTGGCAGAATCTTTAGGATTTTCTAGATATAAGATCATATCACCAGTAAAGAGCAATAGTTTGACCTCTTCTTTTCCCATTTGGATACCCTTGATTTTCTTGTCTTCTCTGATTACTCTGGCAAGGACTTCCAGCACTATGGTGAATAGAAATGGTGACAGTGGGCAACCTTGTCTGGTTCCAGTTCTAAGTGGAAACGCTTTCAACTTTTCCTGGTTCAGTATGATGTTGACTGTGGGTTTGTTGTATATGGCTTTTATAACTTCGGAGTATGTCCCATCTGTGCCTATTTTGTTCTTACCATAAGCAGGTGCTGTATTTTGTCATATCCTTTTTCTGCATTTATTGAGGGGATCATATGGTCTTTATTTTTGCTTCTATTCTTGTGGTGAACTATATAGACTTGTGTATGTTGAACCACCCTTGCATCTCTTGGGTGAAGCCCACTTTGTTGTGGTGAATTATTTTTTTGATGTGCAGCTGAATTCAGCCTGCTAGGATTTTGTTGAGAATTTTTGCTTCTATATTCATAAGTGATATTGATAACAAAAGGATTATACAGAAGATTAATGAAACAAAAAGTTGGTTCTTTGAAAATATAAACAAAATCAACAGACCTCTCAGTAGGTTAGCCAGGAACAGAAAAGAAAGGACCCTAATAAGCTCAATCAGAAATGAAAAAGAGAAATCACAACTGACATCATGGAAATACAAAATGTCATCTCTGAATACTATGAAAATCTCTATGCACATAAAGTTGAAAAAATGGAGGAAATGGACAGATTCTCAGAAGCGCACAACCTCTGTAGGCTCAGTAAGGAAGCAATAGAGCTCGTGAACAGACCAATATCAAGTATCTAAATTGAAGGAGCAATAAAAAAATCTTCCAACAAAAAGAATTCCCAGACCAGATGGCCTCACACCTGAATTTACCAGACCTATAAAGAAGAACTGGTTCTTATACTACAAAAATTATTTCTTACCATCAAGAAGGAAGGACTCCTCCCCACCTCATTCTACAAAGTCAATGTTACCTTGATACTAAAGCCAGGAAAGAAGATAACATAGAGTATCTTATTTGTCTTTTATTAATCAGGGAAATCACTATATAGTCATATCTAGTTGGCATTAATATTTATTGGTGTGTATCTAGCTTGTGGAATGTGTAATGCAGTTGAGATCAGAGGGACTAGCATGCAAATCTGGCATTATTAACCATCTTATTAACAGTCACTCAAATGCAGCCCTGTTCTGATCTCAGCATTGAAATATGCATTGAAATACCAGCATAAACTTATAACAGGTTTTGGAAAAGATTTATCTAATGTGGTTTCAAATCTTGCTTTTTTAAGTATGACTTGTTCTTGAAAGATTATTTCATGTAGAACTTCAACGGAATATGTTAAACATAAAATTGAGCCTTTGAGCTGCTCTGGGAAGTTGCGTCCATCATTTTACCCGTTCAGCCTCCACCTCAACAGCTGACTTCCCTCCTTTCTCTGGGCAACCACAAAGCACCTCCAGAGCACCTTGCAGAACACTGTTTAACCGCATGTGAAAGACAAATATGAATAGTTGTTTAGTTCTCCAGTATTTTCTATTATATATCGAATTATTTATATGTCATATTATTTGTGTAATGTCAGATGTATCAGGTGTATTGGAGATACTGGTCTTTTTCTTCTCACTTTGCCTTTTCTTGTAGAAACTGTGTTGCTTGTGATATTAACCATCAGCTTCTCAGTCCAGGAGATCCCGATTTTAGGCTGCTGAGGAAGAAAAACTGACCCAAGATCCACAAAATGAATTTTGTCTCTCAGGAACTTGGAAATGGAATACCAAACATAGTTACCTGAGTTGAAAGATTATGTGATTCTGCTACTGAGTTCCCTAATTTGGAATTACTAGGATGGAGCCACATGCAAATCAATGACAAGAAAAAAGTAGTAGAAAGCAGAAATGGAAAAAGAAGGAGGCTTTTAGTGGTGATGACAGATATATGAGGAGGAAGAAGAGAAAGAAAGTCTGCCTTGATTCTTACCTGCTTCCAGGACCAGCATTTGCAGCATGTATTACAAGCAAGCCTGTGTACTGTGTAACATATAATAAATTCTTTGTTGCTTAAGGAGGAATTTGTTTCAAAGACATTAGCTAATTTTCTATTGATTTTATAAATGTGGTGATATGATGATCATGCCATATCATCTTAAATTAAAGTGCGTAATGATCTGTAAGAGAAGGCTGAGTGTTGGAAATGTATTTAGGTGCAGATTTTACGTCCTTCAGTTGAGGTGAGCAAAATTCATCATGGCAGGAAAGATTCAATAGTTAACGAGAAAGACAAGTACGTCAACTTTGAGTGAAGGTGTTAGGAAAAGATTCGAATTCAGTCAAGGTCATTTGGAGAACAAGTAGAGTTAGAGTATATCATAGTGAGCTATTTTGTTGATTTGTTTTCCATTTTTAATTTATTTTTCCACTCTCCATAGTAAGTCTACAACATGAGTTTTTAAATATACGGAATTATTTTTGTAGTTAAAATAGATACATATCATGTAAAGAACAAACAAGAAAAATTTTAAAGCCAAAATCATGTATTTCCACAGACATAAAATAAAGGATGTCTATTTTTAAGGCAAAAGTACATAACCACAATCAAAATGGATATGTACTACAAGTCTCTAAATTTAAATATGAATATGTTGTCTCTCTTTCCTTTAAAATACAGAGAAAAATGAAGAACCTATTATATTTCAATATGTGTTTAAAATGTGGAGTGTTAAGCTTTAGAGTAAAGTAATTCTCATTGTAAAGTTTTAAAAATGTATAAGAAGTAAAGTGCTTGCAAAGCTTGCTCTTCAAATAGGATTTTTTTTTAATGTTGAAAGATGGATGTAAGCGGAAATTGTACATAGTCAACTTTTACCATCTTAGCTTTCTCTTATAAAATAGAATAGTTAATGTAATTGAGCTAATAGAAATCCTAAATTCTCTTTAACACTTCTTTGAGAATTAATAT